CGGGAAATGCCCCACCACCAAAATCCTGTTCCTGGGGTATCTGCTCTACCCCAGGGATTTGGGAGGGGAGGACCTTTCACAGTTTTCCGAGAGGGGGAATCTGAGAACGTCACACTCCATGGACTCCATGGCTCCATGCACCCATGGAAATGTTACACTGAATCCAACCCTTTGTGCTCAAGAAATCTATACATCCCATGGTGACCATATCATCTGTAAATTAACCCATTTTTCTAAAGCTGAGATATGGATTTCATAAATAGTCCTGATTACTCCTAACAGAAGCACCTTCTAAGCTCAATGGACTCCCAGGAAATGTCTCAGTTCCCCCCAGTTTCACCAATTCTGGCTAGGACTCAAGCATTCCTTCAAGCCACTGGAAGAACCGTTTTAAGCAACTGCAGCCTGAATCCAGGCACAATCCGACGCTTTCAAGGTATTTACTTTTTGTTTAAGTGGGGGTGATGATGATGATGATGATGGAAAGAGGGAGAGAGAGAGAGAGAGAGCGCCATCCTCCCCTTAAAAGATGCCTGCTGTTCAAAGCCCCTCAAAAGCCCAGGCTAACAAGCAGGCCTCGCAGCACTTCCTGACAATTTCCACGGAGGGAAACCCCCACTTCATCTCTTCAGGGAGCCCATTCCACAGAGCCAGAGCACAACAGGAAAGGCCTGAGCTTTGGTCAGTGCTAGACAGGCCACCCTAAGTGGTGGGATAGCCAGTATGGCAGTTCCACAAACCATAAACCTCCCATGTGCAATGTGAAATTTCATTTTTAGGAAATCATTCCTAGTGCTTTAAAATAACCACATCATACTCAAACAAAAGGGGGGGCACATCTCTGAAAGTACTCACAGGGTTCGTCTGTCCTGGAGGGCGGGAGACAACTGTCCCAGTCACTCTCACCACAGATTCAACAGGAGTGTTGCATAAGACCTTCTTCAGATGGGAAGCAGCCTGCAGAGAGACAGAAATGATTAAAGCGAAGAAGTGATTGCATTTATACCCCACCGCGCACTACCCAAAGGTGTCTCAGAGCAGCTTACAAACTCCTTTTCCTTCCCCTCCCCACAACAGACACCCTGTGAGGTAGGTGGGGCTGAGAGAGCTCTGACAGAAACTGCTCTTTTTTCAAGAACAGCTGTGCCAGAACTATGGCTTGCCCAAGGTCATCCAGCCAGGTGAAAGTGGAAGAGTGGGGAATCAAACCCGGTTCTCCCAGATTAGAGTCCGTGCACTTAACCTTGTCTTGGAATGTGCCTGTGTCAGATTTGGAAGCATGTGTGGCTTCCACTACAGACTTAGATCTTTGCATTAATCTTGGAGAACACGCTGATTCAACATTGTGCAGTCAAGCTTTTAAAAAAAATTTAAACTGGAATCCCCCTTGTCCGCCAATGTGACCCATGTTTACAAAACAAGAACGTGTGTTCAAATTCTAGATGGTCCACCAGAAATTGGCCTGTGGTTTGCGATCTACCTTCTGCCATTGATTTGTCTGCATTAATCAGCTCAAGAGGTGCTATATATTTTCACTGTTTTTAAAAATGTTATTACACTTTTTAGTAAACCAATCGTTTCCTAACTGCAATCCACAAAACTTTGCCCAAGGCCATCCAGCCAGGTGCAAGTGGAGGAGTGGGGAATCAAACCCAGTTCTCCCAGATTAGAGTCCGCGCACTTAATCTTGTCTTGGAATGTGCCTGTGTCAGATTTGGAAGCATGTTTGGCTTCCACTACAGACTTAGATCTTTGCATTAATCTTGGAGAACACGCTGATTCAACACTGTGCAGTCAAGCTTTTTTTTTAATTTTTAAACTGGAATCCCCCTTGTCCGTCAATGTGACCCATGTTTACAAAACAAGAACGTGTGTTCAAATTCTAGATGGTCCACCAGAAACTGGCCTGTGGTTTCCGATCTACCTTCTGCCATTTATTTGTCTGCATTAATCAGCTCAAGAGGTGCTATATATTTCCACTGTTTTTAAAAATGTTATTACACTTTTTAGTAAACCACTCGTTTCCTAACTGCAATCCACAAAACTTGTGCAGAAATAAAATTAAAAGATGGTAGACTCCATGATCAAAATTAGAAATGCTTGAAGTGTTTGAAAAAGGATATTGTGCAGGCATTTCTAAAAGCGTCTTATCTCATTGCTGTAACAATTCTGGCAGTGCCATTCTGAGCAGAGTTACATCCTTCTAAGCCCATCAGAACTTAGAAGCTCCACTTAGGAAGGTATTATGATTCTGAATTTGGAGCAATACCTGCAACTCAAGATAAACACTTCAAGCAGTACAACTTCAGAGGGGATGGAAGGTGTTGTGGTATAGCCCGATATCGTCAGATCTTGGAAGCTAAGCAGGATCAGTACTTGGAAGGGAGACCACCAAGGAGGACTCTGCAGAGGAAGGCAACGGCAAGCCACCTCTGCTTCTCGCTTGCCTTGAAAGCCCCTTGCTCGGGTCACCATAACATAAATCAGCTGCAACTTGATGGCGCTTTAAAACACACACATTTCAGACACAACCCTTGATAGTTCTTACCTCATCTTGAGGAATGATAATTTGGGTGAGTCCCTGGAAGTCTCTCAAAACCACAAACTGCCCCTGCCTAAACCATAAGAGAAATAAACACACGTTTATAACTTCTGAAGAAGTGAGTGTGCACACCAAAGCTTATACCCAGAATAAAACTTTGTTGGTCTGAAAGGTGCCACTGGACTCAAACTTTGTTCTACATTTATAACACTTCAAGCTAACCCCTTAAATTAGAGCCAATCTTCACATAGAGATAAATGATGTAGTAAAGGGTACCGGGGATGGTACCATTTCAGATTGCAGGAGGGGACAGTCACATAACAGGAAGTGTTCCCTGCACATAGAAAATTAGAACAAGCTAGGTCAGGCCTGTCTTCTTAAAATATACATTGTCCATGAATGAGCAAAGATATTTTGACGTGGGAGAACAAATCAAACCTACAAATTCTGAAATCACACCGTTCTATTCCACCTGATTTTATTTTCAATCTGGGAACTGGCTAGTTCCTTGTATTCATTCCTCAATACAGTAATTATTTACAAAGCAATTCCTTCCCCCATTTCCATTTAAGTCAATATAAAGTGAGATTATTATTAAAATAAACAGTCAGCCAAAGAAAAGCAACTTTAAGGCCTACTAATTTCAATGGGGGAGAAAGTGACTTGCCATAAAACCAGTAATTATTAGTTAATCTAAAATCACTCTTTTTTAAATTTACCTCTGATACTGAATCCATCCACACAAAGTAACTTCCTGGCCTACATTAGCAGAACGCAGTTCCCCACAAGTTTTGGTCCGAGCGACGAACCTATTGAGATCTTGGGTAGAATAACGTAATGAAAATAATGAAGTTCATGATAAGCTCAAATAAAATTTCCATCAGCATATCTAAATTTACCAAGACAATAGAGATGTCAATTTAAGGGACAATGTCATCTGCACAGGATGCATTGCATAAGGGATCTGGATAATGGGTTGGATCCTACTACCTTCTCTAATGGCAATAGGGGGAGGAGTAGCCCCTTTTAACCACTAAAACGTCTATGGCAGGGCTCAAGGGAACCACATGGACAGGAGACACACAGGAGGAGGCTGCAGAGAGGAAGAGAGCTGGGTCAGATTGAGCAGAAAAGGTGGTGGGATCCAGCCCAATATCTAGTGTTCCATAATCCTCTACTGCTAACATGCACCAATTTCCCTGCTGCTTTTATGCAGACCAAATTGGACTACTAAGTGATTTCTGTTCCTTACTTTCTACTGGTCAGTGGCTGTTATATTTTTCCTGAACTGACGAAGTGTGCGTGCACATGAAAGCTCACACCTTGAATAAAACTTTGTTGGTCTTAAAGGTGTTCTATTTTCCCTCTTGGAGCACTTTGGTTCCTACTGCCATCTAGCTCCTATGGTTTTCTTGCTACAACGTGGCGAGCCAGCACCTTTCCCAAAATCAGAGCCGCTACAGCCATCTACGTTGATGGGCCAAGCACTGGATAAGACTCTACAAAGATCTCCATAAATGGAAGGCAATGTTCTATAGTGGTTAGGGTTGTTATGAGGATAAACCAAAGGAGAGAATTATATAAGGCCCCCCACGGGGGGGGGGGGAGGTAAGGGGGGGTGTAAACTAAGCAAGCAAATAAATAAGATATGCTTTGATTGAAAATAATGTTTTGGATTACAGTATTTAAACAAAAAGTGACCCATTACGTAATGACTTGTTTTATTTTGGTTGGCCTTAACAAGTACTAGCTTAGCATATTTACAGATCACCTCTCACCTAAAAACTGCACGAGGCAGTTTATAGCATGATAACAGATCACCTAAAAAGCCAGACACAGACACACACACACCTACTCTATTTACATGACTTTGGGATTTTGCTAAACAACAGTCACTTTCTCTAAGGCCATATTCAGGCTTTGTTACGCGCAGACCCCCACCGGGGCAAAATAACCAGCGCAGCTTCGGGCGCTGCGAAAACACTCCCCGCCCCGACTGCGTTTTCACGAGCTGCACCCACCTGCAGGGGCCGCGGCTGCATTAAATGCCGACGTGTTGGAAATGCATTTGCACCAGGGCTCGGCCACCCTTCTGCGTGTTCTGGGGAAGAACAGCGACAGCGAGCGGTAAAGAGGACGCATCTTATGCATGGTCCTACAACACAAGAGTTATACAAGGGATGCACGAAGCTCCCGGGTCTCAGCCGAACCGCCTCTTCCTTGCGCACGTCTCAAAAGGTCACGGAAATGCCCCCTCACAGCTACCGTCGGTCGCCATGATTGATTTGGCCGTAAATGCTTCGCCGTCCCCTAACCTCATCTGCATCGAGCCCTTGCAAGTGACGGCAGCGGCGACGCGTCTTCCTCGCCCATCCTTCGCATGCGCAGAATACGCCCTCCTCCGCCGAAGTGGTTGCTGGGAGGCAATTTTTTAAATAAACCCGCCCGCCTCAGCTTTTTGTGCCGTGTCGTTAGAAAGAGATTCTCCTCAGGGCTGTTGTCGCCGATGGACGTGGCGCGGAATCAGGTGAAGGGTGGATTGCAGTTTCTTGGGAGGAGAGGTGACGCGTTACGCCCTTGAATGAGGAACGATGCGAATTGTGAAAAATAAATACGTGAGAAATAAGAGTATTTTTGGCTGGGAGAGAGCAGCGGCTGGGCTGGGCCCCTTCAGACTGCAGGAAAGGGGCGGGGTGTAGTGTGGAGTGGGGCCCTTCTCTGGACAAAACCCGCGTCGAAACCGCTTGAGGAAGCGGCGAGGCTAAACCCCTTGTCCCGGCATGCTGATTTCCTACGGACGCGTCTCCCCGCAGCAGTCCGGAGTGGTGTAGTCCAGATACAGGCTGACCGGTCAGAACTTATTTTTCTGTCCGAGCTCTGCACCTATTCCTGACTTTATTTAGACCAAGACCGGTAGCCAGGTTAGTCTCTCCGTAGCAGCGGGAAAAAGCAAGAGTCCCAGCAACACCTTAAAGACTAACAAAATGTGTGGCAGGGTATGTGCTTTCTTGAGACAGGGCTCACTTCTTCAGATACAACTAGAATGGGAGTCCATCTGTCAATTCAGCTCAGCAATTGCAACTGATGATGAAGCTCAAGGCAATGCATCCACCTGGACTGACTCAAGACCTTGGTTTCCTGTCTCATTGATGCTGATTTCTCCATGCCTCTGTATCCCTCCTAAATCCAATCATGCCTACTGTTGTCATTCACCTGCTATTGTCATTTGCCTGCTAATGTCATTCCGCATCTGAAACCACTCCACTTTCCAATAAATAGGACATTCTAGCTGTATTCTGAAGAAGTGAGCAGTGACTCATGGAAGCTCATACCCTGCCACATATTTTGTTAGTCTTTAAGATGCTACTGGACTCTTGCTGTTTTCTACTGACATTTTTTTACTCACTTCATTGATACCGTGCCTTTCGCCCTAGTGGATTGTTTAGAAACACCCACTGGCAAAGTAATTCCACACTTTTTCCTTTCTCCCCTCTATAAGATGTTGGAATTTCATGTCAGTTACCCCATAAATAAGTTTGTGGTTTTAAGCATTCATAAATACATTGCCAACACGGTGTAGTGAGAGTGTCTGGCTAGGATCTGGGAGACTTGGGTGCAAATTCCTGTTCCGCAGTGAACCTTGCTAGGGGAACCTAAGGCCAGTCACTTCACATCACAGTGTTCTTGTGAGCATGAAATGGACATGGGGAAAATGATGTTGTAAGATGCTTTGGATCTTCATTGAGGAGAAAAGGGGGGTATAAATAAATAAAAATAGTATTACTGAGTGCTAGGCTGTATTTTATGGCAATTGCATATATATATAGAAGCAATCCCAGAGTTATTATTGAACTTCCTTTCCCATCTCACTATGTTTCTTTTCCTCTCTCCTGGCCTTTTGACTCCCTTGCCAGAGAGCTGTAATGGAATGAACTTTCACATCCAGAGAACTACTGCTTTAAATTCTTCAGCCTTTTCTCAGAGAGGAAGTGCTCCAGTTCCTCGATCATTTGAGTTGCTCTTTTTCAGTTCTTGAGATTTCCCTTTTATGATATGAGGTTATATGTCTTTTCTACATATTCCCTCAAAGGCTGGCTTTCAGTATGGGTATAAGGGTTTGCTTTTCTTCTTAAACATCTGGGGTTTTTTGGCCTCTTGATTAATAAGCCAGTTCCTATCTATTGAAGGCCTTTTTTGATGGCTCATTTTAACATACTTCATTTGGCAGAGCTTCATGGCATGCTTGCAGGGATGTTCCGAGAACAGAGACAATATGCATGGGGAGGCTGGACACTGGGAGTCTCCCACTTCTTCTCTTGCAAGTTGTATGCTAAACCCAGAGCTTCCCTGCTTGCTCCTGTTCTGTCAGTTTACCTTTACCATTTGGCAGATTACCATTTTTAAAACATTATTCCATGTAATGATAGAAAAATCAGTGAAGCTGTTGCTAAATGTTTTTCAGCAGCTCTGAAGTATTTGCACCAAAGTATTGTCATTTCTAGGATAGATTTCAATTTTAATCTTATATACAAAATGTTTTAAACATGTTGTTTTGTACATATTAATTCCTTTTATATTAATGTATTTTGTATCTTAACATAATCTTAGAGGCTCAATAGCTACATTTTAAGAGTCCAATGGCCAATGGGCCTTTTTGAACATCTTTCTTGAATGAACTGAACATGGCATTAATAAACTACATATGTGCACAGGGTACTGATTCTGGAGGAAAAGCCATGGGCCATGGTACAAACTTCATTAACACTGCACATCTTTCAAGAGGCCGCATATCCCTCAAGAGAGGCAACTTGTTTGGTCAGACTCCGGCTAAGAGACGACTTTTGCAAACTCCTCACCTACAGGTAAGGCTGCCGTAAGCTTGGTATAACTAAACAAAGTTTTTGAAAGACAGGAGTATTGGAATAGTAGTAAGTTTTTATCTGATGCTACAGTCTTACTGCATTAGAAGCCAGACAACCAAGTTAGGATAATCCAAAGGCCCAATTGCCTCTCTGGCTGGTTTCCTGCATTGGGTACATCTATTGTTTGTTTTGATGCTTTCAGCAATCTGCTCCTCCAATTCTGTTTTCATTTGCATGAGATCTTACCATTTTCCCTGTCCAGTTTATCTCTTAGTGACCCTGTTTTACAAACTCCATTTTCCCCTAGTAACTGTTGTACCATTACAATTTTACTATGCTGTTCCCAGCTGTTTGAGGGGAAGTAGGTTGACAGTATACCTGAACATTTAAATTGAACAATAGAGAGGCTAGAGATGGATGGTACAAGATTCAAAGTACTTCAAGCAGACTGCTGTTTGTAAAAATGGATCTTTCCTGCCTCGTGTTTTCTTCAGTCCCTTGCCCCAACCAAAAAGCTGCTCCTAAATGTGGAGAGACTTTCAGGAACACTATGGAGTGCTGCTGGGGGGGGGCATTCAAGTGAGGAGTGGGAAATCTGGAAGTATCTTCTGCCTGCACAAGGACACCTTTGAGTCCAGTGCATAAGGTGTGGATTATAACAATCATGTTATTTGCAAATTATCTCCAGTTTTTAAGAATAAATGTTAATAAATGCTTTTTATAGTACTGTTTCCTGTACTGTTAGACTTGGGGCTGGAAGATGGAAATTATGGATACCACTTATGGCTTGTGAAACTGAAGCTCTTATCTCCATTCCAGGAAAATGCTGATGCTCAGATAGGCTTCCTTCTCCGCAAGCAGTTGACCTTGTACAGCGTCTCTCCCCTATACAAGTTTTCTTATGATAGACTGCAGGAATATTCTAGACAGCTGTGTTTTGTTATCGCTGCTGAAAAGCAAAAAGGGCTCGCTGTGCATGTGGAAGGTGACCTTAAGTTTAAAGTGAAGTTCTCCATGCTCTCAGTGTTGAAAACCTCAGAACAGAACGAGGCAGGAGTCCTCATTCAGGTAGGCATCACAGTAGTTAAAGGTTTTTCTTATCACTTCTGAAGAATGCGGTTACAAAGTCTATAAAAGTGACTCATTCAGCTCATTTTTGTCACTGTCGCTGTACCACTCAGCTCTTGGACAACCTGGGCTGACTGTGAACATTCATGATGTGTTGCTAAGTGTTTGATGCCCAATCTTGGTTTTGTTGGGTTTTAAAATGTTTCTCGAGAAAGGGGTTCTCAAAATTTGCAGCTGTATATTTTAAATCAAAATAAATTGTACAGTCTCCCTCTTCTCTACCCCCCTCTGCCCTCACTCAGGTTACAGCTGAAAATGCAGGACCCAAAGTGGTGTGGACGGGCTGTTTCTGCTGTACTCGTGGAAATGACATTCTAGAAACAGTCGTGGAGGATTTTACTTGCCTCCCTTTGTTCCTTGTAAATGGGGCAGAGAGTCTCTCGGCCATCATTGGAACTTGGCTTCAGCAAACTTTTGACTGTTCTTTCAGCCTGTTGACCATCAGCCCCCTCAACCTTGCTTGGATGGCTGCAATGTGGACTGGGTACAAAATGGAGCGTCACAAAGGAGCAGTGGAGCTGACTTTCTCTGTTCCAGGCACTCCTCAACCTCTGGACATTTCTTATGCCATCCACGCTGAAGATGCAAAAGCCCTTTGGGATTCAATCCATACCACTCAACAAGAAGTTCGACAAGAACAGGTGGACTTATTCATGGATGGCCTTTGCTATCACTTTTATAGACATTTCAAGATCTACCTGTCAGCCACAAGACTGGCGAAAGTCTCTACATCTGTAGCCTCCGCCCATGCTAATGGGAAAATAAAGGTATGGAGCCTGGCTAACTGACAGCAAACCAGTTGATGGGGTTTATTGTTTCCCACTATCTCTTAATGTTGGAGGCTGTTTTCTCATTGGATTGGCCATTTGTTTTGTCAAAAAAGAATTAGCCAGTTGACCATTCAATATTTCAGGGCGTTGGTTTGGATCCCATAGTGGTGCTTCCATCCAGCACAACGAGCCTTCCCTGATAAGAGGTTAGAACCCATAACCCTCTTTTAACAAAATACTTTAAATTGCTTCTAGTAATTATAAAAGCAAAGGATTGAACCCTGTAAAACACGAACATAAGGTACTCGCAGAGGCAGATCTTCCTCCATCTCCCTTTTTCCTTTAGCTGCTCTCTAAAGCTTCCCCTCCCACCCCATGCTGATGCTGAGAGTCAAGGGAGCCTTGTGAACAAAATTGCCATGATGCATGGTGGGCTACACTAGCTGGCAGCCCCCACTGAAAAGTGTGTAGTTACAATATCCACAGATAATGGGAGAGTTTAGAAGTTCCCAGTCTCCTTTAGGCTGTAGCTACTTTTGGGACTTTGAGAATGGGAAATGGGCACCACCACAAAATGGCTGCCATGGAACCTGGGACCAACTCACAGAATGTTGTGACATTGTAAGACAGACATCCTCTTGCAATGGAAGCAGCTGTTTCCCAAGGGGTGTTCCCTGCAAGCAAAAAGGTAATGTCTCTATTGGAGCAAGTACCACTTACTCCAGTGAGGTAGAGGAAAGCTGTTTGCTCTGGGCAAGAGATGCTTTGAGGAAGAAGCAAATGTGCACCAAGAAACTCATTGGAGGGTGCCGTAATGTCTGCTGGAGCCATGTTGGGGACTACTGCTTAGAACAGAGGTGTCAAACTCATTTGTTACGAGGGCCAGTTCTGACATAAATGTCACTTTGTCAGGCTGGCAATGTGTGCCATAACACGAAGTACCAAACATGTAAACTTTATAAAGATGATTTCAGATGCTGAATGGCAAAGTGGACATGATTGGCTTAGGTGTGATATGCAGAGGGGTAGAAGGCATAGAGATCTCAGCACTGGTAATGAGACAGGAAACCTAGGTCAGTTTGTTACAGGAGGATACAAAAAATAAATGGGAACAAGTCTAAAGAAATGAGCAGTGACTCATGAAAGCACATACCCTACCACAAATTTTGTTAGTCTTTAAGGTGTACTGGATTCTTACTCTTTCTACTGCTATTAGAAACCACAACATTCAAAAACCAGTAGGGGAATATTTTAATCTTACGGGACATTCAGTTGCTGAGCTAAGAGTAGCAGTTCTCTTACAAAGGAATTTCAAAGAGATTAGAGAGACTGCTGAATTGCAACTGATACTGAAGCTTCAAACAATGCATCCTCCTGGACTGAATTGAGACATACGTTTCTTTTCTCTTTACCAATGCCTCCTATTGTCATTTGGTGTCTGAAATCAATTCACTCTTCAAGATATACGAACAGATGGACTCACATTCTAGCTGTATCTGAAGAAGTGATCAGCCACAAATTTTGTCAGTCGTTAAGGTACTACTGGATTCTTGCTTCCGTTCACTAATAAAGAATGCAAACTGTGCTGTTAAGTCCCCCCCCCCAATCTGTTTGAACTGGAAATGGGGATCTCTCCAAGTGCCATGGGACTCTCTCTGTGGTGTGCTCTTTCTGGCTCCCCTCCCCCCCCCGAAGAAGTGTGCTTGCACACAAAAGCATTCACCAGGAATAAAAATGTTGTTGGTCTTAAAAGTACCACAAGACTGTTTCTCTCTCTCTCTCTCTCTGGTTCTTTCCCTCCCCCTGAGGAGAAGGGAGAGGAGTCCTCAGCCAATCAAAGGAAGGGAGGCTTGGCTTTCTTTCTCTCCTCTGCAAAGCAGGAAATAGAGACTGGGCAAAAGGAGCTGCAATGCAGGAAGCAGCAGACAGCCAGTTGTGCAGGGGCCGGATCCAGCCCACAGGCCTCTGCCTTAAAACATCTCCAGTATCTTGTTCTTACTACTGAAAATCAGAATAGAGAATGGAGCAGCTAGCATACTTCTTTCTTTGCTCTATAAAAGTATGACTATGTCAAACTCTACAAGCCTTTGTGTAACTGGAAGACTTTGGCTGGAGCTGGAGATATACTGAGTGGGCTGTGACTTTTAACAATTGCTTTTAATTGAATATTATATACTGCTTTGATCTGACTTGCATTTTTTAAAACAGATCATTCTGCATTGATCTGACTTGCTTTTTTTTTTTTTAAACAGATTCTTCATTCTGCATATCTGGTGGAAATCCTGGCACTGATGACAGAATTGGCTATTTCAAAAATACTCTGATGGACATTACCTGTCTGGTGCGGAGATGGCTTGAAAACTGCTTGAGGGTGTAATTGTTTTTATTATTGATCCAGCACATAATATGGATTCTACTCAAATCTGCAATGCAGTGAAAAGAATCACATCTGTATAGCTTAATTCAGACTTAGTATGGAACTATCATGGAGAAGGTTGGCAGTACTGCACACTGTATTAAAAAAAAACTGTGTACCTTACAAGTAGCACATATTGTTCTATATAATTACTTTGAATCCATTTCAAAACCAGGACTGAAGGAAGAGTGCTCCATGTATGAAACCCAAGGGCAGAGGAAAAAAGGGACACTATAGGCAGGGCTTTTGCTTTTTTTTTTGAAAAAGGGGTGCTGGAATTCTGAAGAGGGAAACGAATACTGATTTCAGATAAGCTACCAAACTCCAACTGGTCCTGGGGGGAAAAAAAACCACATCCTTCTCATTATTGACATAGTTTCTACCCAGAGGACCCCAGTAATTGAGAAAAAGCTAGAGAGCTTTTGACACCTTCATTCAACCAGATGTTTTAGATACAACAATGGATAAATTGCTCCAAGTGTTCTTTTGTCTGACCCTTGAGAACAAAACAAAACACCCAAAACGAGATTTTATTAAGGTAATGCTATTTATACAAGTTAACTCATGCTAGAAAAAGCATAAATGATATATGTAAACAACTGTTTACAGAATACTTTTTCTTTGTAAAGGTGCAAATGTTCAAAATGTAAACACAGCAATGCCAACCTTTTGCCAACCTTTAGGGCAAAAGGAAGGGCTTTCACCTCTGAGCTTTCCCCCAAACAGCCACTTATGTTAACTGTTTTTTTCCACCCTCTCTACCCGAATACACTGAAGCTGCGGAGGCTTTAAAGCTACATAGGGAAGGTCTTAACAACTGGCATTGCTTTTGCCTGGAGAACTCATGGCCCATCAAGGCCCAGGCAGGCCACCGTAAATGACTGGTTAATATGCATTTAGTCTTTGCCCCTTCGCTCTCCAAGCAAGCCACAACAGTGATACAGTTAAATTTGGGGGTGGGGAATTGATTGGAGATGGTTTAAGGCTGCAATTCTTTGAACTGAATGAGGGAATGACAGCTGTGCTGCAGAAAAAAAGGTGGCAAATACTTCTACTATAATTCTAACCACTTCTTTCAGAAGTGTAATAAGGCAGGTATCATTATGCCCCGGAGCCCAAAAATTATATACCGCTTCATGGGTAAGAAAGTGCTCTGAAACAGGAATTAAAATGACAGAAGAGAAAGGTCAACTGCTTCTTAAAAGTATACTTTGTTGCTTCTCTGTCCCAACAACTGCTTAATCACAGTATATGTTCATGGGGTATAATTACAGGAGTGTTCTCCCTAAACTGGCAAGATATGAAGTATGCAGAACATGAGCCTCATTACTGATGCAAAGATCTTCCCTGAAAGGAAGAGCATTATTAGTGTGCTCTTGTCAAACGTTTCGGGCAGCCAAACTTCCCCACAGCTAAGTGCTGAGTTTGTTACATTTCTGCTCTTCCCATGTATTCTAATCTTTTGTGTTCAGTTTTCCAATGAGGAAAATATCATTCTGCTTTCAAAAATCCGGACAGTGATCAGAATTTATAAATAGCTTCAGCTGGAAAACTGCATGTAATACAGTCAGAATCTACCCATTTGAATTTAACCTGAAAAAGATGAGGTTTTCATAGTATCCAAAAAACATACAGTAAAAGTTAAATGGGAAAAGGCTAAAAAAAAAAAACAGTTAGCACTGTAGGTCATTTAATTTAAGCAAAACCTACCTGTAGCATTCTCTTACCTTGTGGAAATGAATGAGGTCTTATGCAACTACTTTTCATTTCAATGAGATGGGAGTAGATGTGAACACAGGTGACTAAACCCTCTGTCAAGAGGGCTAAATGACAGAAGAATGTGACTGACACACATTCACCTTCAGATCAGATGCCTTGCCCACCTCTGAATGGGCCCGTGTTTGACAGACCTCAAGTACGCTTTGAGTTATTAGTTTGTTACTAGAATGACATCAAATTCCAGTTTCTTCAATAAACCAGGATGGAAGGAGGAAAAGAGACAGACAAGGAAAACTGCGTGCTCCAGACTGTTTGCTGGAGAAGTTAGCATGGTCTTCTGTATCTGTAGCAGAGGAGGGGGAAATGTGTTCAGCATCCATTAGAATCCCACAGGAAGAGGCACCAGCAAAGAATATAAGTGTGATCTTGCTTTTACTAGAGCCTCTGAGAGCTCAGAAGTCACCAGGTTGATCAGTTTCAACAGGAATGAACACGGGGGGGATTCCTCTCACTGGTTGTTTTACCATATATGGGATTCACAATGTGTCATTTTGATAACTCCTACGCCACCGCCAAGTCGACGGTAGTTCATTCCTCCGTAGAGTCTGCAAGAGAAAAAGCACATTTTGAGCGTTATTCTTGCACAACAGCAAATGCAGGAATAAAATAATATTCAAATAGATATATTATGATAAAATCAGTGGGATGATTTGGAGTACAGGATTACAACAGTAACCTTTCAGTATTAAATAACCTGTAGCTTACCCAGTTCATCTCCTTTTTCAAGTACTTTAAGAATTATTCAAACTCAAATATCTATATGTATGGCAAGTGGATTTAATAATCTGGGGTCCTGACCAGACTAGACACCATAAAAAGCAGCATCTTCTCCAGCACTGATGTGTCTTGGCTTTCACTTTTTAAACAAGTGTTTCATACTCATCATGGAGGCAATAAAAGCTGTTGAAAAGAAACAAGCTTCATACCGGAGACTGCCTTAAGTAGGCTTTTAGGAAGAGTCAGATGTTCTCACAACAGCGGTCACTGGGGGTGTGGAGGGGGAGGTATTTGTGAATTTGCTGCATTGTGCAGGGGTTCAGACTAGATGACCCTGGAGGTCCCTTCCAGCTCTGATTCTATGATTCTAACTGCCCCCGCCTCCCTGTGTTTGGGTGAAGGTATGGCAGAATCCGTCGACAGAGTGGTCTTTCCATCCTGCTCTGCAGAACTCAACTTTCATCTTTAACGAAAGCCAAATTTCTTGCCCATAAAGAAGTTATGATGTAAAGAGCAGAGGTCCATCAGTGGCTATTAGCCAGAAGGTATAGATAGGGACTCTGGGGCAAGTGATGCTCTGTCATCTTGGTGCTTGGGGGGGTCAACAGTGGGAGGGCTTCTAATGTCCTGGCCCCACTGGTGGACCTCCTGATGGCACTGGTATTTCTGGCCACTGTGCGATACAGAGTGTTGGACTGGATGGGCCTTGGCCTGATCCAACATTGGCATCTTTTATGTTCTTATGTTCTTACACTTATTAGAGAATAAGTCCCGCTTTGTACAGTGTAACTTACTTCTGAGTAAAGACCCACAGAGTTGAGCTATAAAGCCACAAAGTTTGGCTTAAGAGTTATGTAGGGCACTGTGTGGTAAAATATCAGAAACTAGAGAAAGGAGAGAACAGAAAAACTAGATTGCACATCTCAGCTTTTCCTGACTTACTATTTGGGTAACCCTTGAAGAAAATTTTGTGTTTGATGTAGTGCATGCCAAACCCATCTCTGCCCACCTTTACCTTCCCCCGACTATTAGTATTCTGAGTCTCAGGCCTTCCTCCTAGAGTCTCTTCTCTTGTAACTCCCACACACGCATTTGGGTGAAATAGAGTTCTGCAAATATGGAATTTTAATTTAAAGATGTTGTGACTGCAAAACTTTGTATCTCTCGTCTAGAATTCCAGGACCTCTAACCTTTGCAGTCTTTGTAACAAAGATTGACATTTTGTATTGTGGGCTTGCTCTTGGAGGACCCAAGAGGAAAGCAAACTTTCTAGATGTTAAATGCACTCATGTCAGGATTGATTTCTGGGAAACTAATAAATAACCCAGCATGCAGATTTCACCCAGAAATATGATTTCATCTGGTTACTGTTGCCCTTTATCTTATTGATTTTTAAAGACATACAAAAATACAACTGGCAGTTGATTTCACAATTTAGGGTTTTCAAGGCAAGAGACATTCAGAGGTGGTTTGCTGTTGGCTGCCTCAGTGTCAGGACCGTGGTATTCCTTGGTGGTCGCCCATCCAAATACTAGCTAGGACCAGCCTCCTGCTTAGCTTCCAAGATCTGGCAAGATCAGGCTAGCCTGGGCTATCCAGGTCAGCTAAAGGTAAAGGTTCCCTTGCTCGAAAGCCAGTCGAGTCCGACTCTAGGGTTGCGGTGCTCATCTCAGTTTCAAAGCCAAACAGCCAGCGCTGTCCGAAGATGTTTCCGTGGTCATGTGGCTGGCATGACTAAACACCAAGGCGCACGGAACGCTGTTTCCTTCCCACCGAAGTGGTACCTATTTATCTACTTGCAATTTCTTGCTTTCGAACTGCTAGGTTGGCAGGAGCTGGAACTAGAGACAGGAGCTCACTCCGTCATGTGGCGACTCGGGTCTCGAACTGCTGAACTACCGACCTTCAGTTCAGCATCTTAACTACTTGAGCCACCGCAGCTCCATCCAGATCAGAGCATATGTTAATTACAGATGCCCAAGTACATGTTGGATATTGTAACTGCATGCAAGAGGATTTGGGAGGGAATGGGTTAAGAGAATTCTGTCACTTGACAGTTGGCCACAAGCCTCTCATAGGTTAGATGCTGAGCCTCTCTGGCCCTTGTTTGCCTTCTGTGTTTCATTTTATATAGGGCCTCTTTTCTCTCTCTTACCTGGGCTTGTAGCTGTAGCAAGTTAACCTTTTTGAAGTTAACCTGTTTACAGTAAGTTAAATGTACCTACATGAATATCTCATGTAAGATGTGCTTCTATTTTTGTAAGTAAAATTTCTCATGTTACCATTGGACTCATCTTTATAATTTATTTGAGCAGCATTTCCCCCTTAAACAGGGAAACATGGAGTGTGGGGGATACTGTGAAAGAAAAGCCTCTGTGCTCCCAAGGCAATTGATCTTTCTTTACAATCAACCCAATAGTACTGACCATGAGTCATTAATTTAGTGACCTACTAAAGACCCTCAGATTAATGTTTTTACACTTAGTATTTTGGCTTCAGTTAATAATTTAACTCATTCTCACTTTTAGTCCTGAGGCTGGATTCCACCAGCTATTGCAGGACCATAAGGAGGAAAAGATCCAATCTTGCCCAATTTCCCTCCTCACTACAATTCCATCTTGTGTGGTCTCTCTTCTGGCCAATGGAAAAATGGGTAAAATTTAACTCACTTGTTCCAAAACCCAACTGTTAGAAAAAGGGGGATCCATGCGAATGCTTATTTTCATAAGAGTTCCAGTAAGAAAGGGGGGCTATGAATGAAGTAAATATGAAATTGATCATTTGCTTCTGAAATTTCTTCTAATAAATATGTAGGCAGGATCATCTTTATATGTAGCATATCTGCTTTCAGGGCTCCAGACAGCTAACTCGGCAATTCCTGACTTAGTTCCTTAAAACAGTTCTCTTATCAAATTAATTCATGACAAGATTCCACATGCCTTTTTAAATGCGTTGCCAGCCCAAATAGTGGTTAGCCCATATCTTAAATAAATCCCATCCATCACCACAAAAAGTTAATTAACAATCTTCCAAATTTGGGGCAGGGAGGACTGACCCCCCCAAAATACAGCAGCGGGCTTAAGAACCACCAAAACCAAAGCTTTTACCCACAAAACCCGTCATGTTTCTAGTCCAAAATTCCAAAAGGGTTGAACCCAAAGTTTCCATTTTGTGAATCTGGAGGCTCCCTCCAATGCAAACAGCTTTCCTCCAAAGGAACAGACATTTGCCAATAGAAGGCTTGGCTGTTAGTGTAAGTGGGAACTCTAGATTCACTCTCCAATTATTTTGGGGTAACGTCTTGAATATCTCTGAGAGGAAAGGCAACACATAAATACCAAAAAGGAACAGAGCCACATATGTAATGAAGCCACAGTATGGATGGTCTAACAGTGCCCCCAAAACAACACCTTACACAGCATAATTGCTAATTCAGGCCCGTCATGGTCACTGCTTCTAAGGGTTAAACTAACTGGGAGATCTGTGTCTGGATCCTGACATTATTTTTACAGCTCAACTGCAGCTGTAACTTTAATCCAAGCACACCAGGGTAGAAGGATTTTGAAACTCTCTCCCCTCTCTATGAGTGACTACAATTTAGCTGTTAAGTCCTGGAAAGTTCCAGCCACACATTTCCCCACATCTCATCTGTTGACACTAAGAAACACAAACCCGGGTAATAAAGCAGTGTCAGCTGTGCACACAGAAAATCTCTACATGGAAAGAGTAATAATGTGCCGTGTGTGTGTGTATCCTATTTATCTATAGTCTGTGTTATTGGAAAAATTAAGAAATCCCAAATGAATATGTTCGTTCATGAACTTGGTATCACAAGGAGTTTTAATTTCTTTCTGTCCTTTTGCACCTGACGGTTTCTTCAAGTAGCAAATGCCCTTCAAGGATATAAATAGGAACTGGAAATCCTATTCTGCTTAGACTTTCCAGTGCAAGTTCTGATCACAACACCCTTTGCACAGACCACTTGGCTTTGGAGCCACAATTCAATTTGCATCGACACTGGTCTGCTTCATCCTGTGTCCTGAACTTGGACCCAGACCAGAAGTTAATGTGGGCACTCCCACAGAGCGCAATTCTCCCCTTCCTCCCCTTGCATAGAAGCCCCTTGAAATTGTGTTCTTAGGGATCACTTCTACCCAGGAACAGGATTTCAGGGGGGATGCATTTCAAGTTGCTGGGGGAAGGCAGGGAAATCATGCTCCATGGGTTGAAATCTTTCTGCCTGCAGAAAGGCTAGTCTGGAGCCAATCCCTGGACTTTCAGTTAGCTTTGCACACTTAAAGAAACAGAAAGGTGGCTTTCAATCTGTGTTCTAGAGAACACGAGAGCTTTTCAGTAAGGTCAATGATGCCTCCCTAAAAGACACCATGCCCACAACTATTGATCTTTCCCCTGCAATATGCAGTTGCAAGTACGTGCTACGTTGCAAAACTCCTCAAAAGTAAGGATTCCTAGGCCACTATGAGAATGTTCCTGCTTAGAGGACTACCATGGAATTGTCTCACTCTACCTCCCTCTCTCCCCTTGAATGGAAGGAGAGGGAAAGGTGCTTCAAATTTCCCAAGGAGTCTGGCAGTTGTTCTAAGTCATACTCTCAGTTCCATAAGTGATGGTGAGGCTCTAAATCAGGGGTTCTCAACCTTTTTGAGCCTGTGGGCACCTTCGGAATCTTGACACAGGGTGGTGGGCACAACCACAAAATGGCTGCCAAAGGAGGTGGAGCCAACTACAGAATGGTTGCCACGGGAGATCGAACCAACCACACAATGTCCGCGAGTGAGGTTATGCATAACTGACAGTAACTCTTCAACTGATTTCCAGTGGCCCATCAGAAGCCCTACTGGGCAAAAACCCCACCTGGCCCCACCCACTTTCAAAAAACGCTTCACGGGCACCAGGAAAGTGTTGGTGGGCCCCATGGCACCCACAGGCACCAGGCTGGGGACCACTGCCCGAGCTACATTATAACCTCAATCAAGTTCTACTATGGAATGTGGACTGAAATGTTCTATATTTAGACATGCATACAAATCCCAGTTTACTTCTGACTGGTCCTTTGGAGTCTGTACATTCGCACAGATGGATTCCATACTTCTAACCAAGCCTTGATTGTCAGTGTGGGGAGAGGCAAATGGCCCTCCATAAATAGACCTGATAAGTATCTTGTCTGTCCAGGAAGGGAACAACATGGAGATATGGGTCTATTGTCAAAAGTTCATGCAACAGGCCAAGACGCAACCACTCGTCCAGGCTTCCACCTACACTTTGGGAATGAGCCTTCTCAGGCCTTGGACACAACAGCAGAACCACCTTCAGCTTCAGCACTGGACCCGGGGATACTGGTTCTGAGCAAGACTACTGAAGCCTTCAACAAAGTACTTCTTACATGGGTCCCATCAGCACCAAAGGACCCCAACCTGGGCCTCTCATCCTCCCTATATTATAAAGCAGTAAGACGCAAACTGCACGCAATGCGCCCCTACAGTGTTTGGACGGTTCGCCTGCCCGTCAACAGCTTGGCCACGTCTCATTGGCCACGTCGTTTGAGTCCCGCCGTGCACGCAGCTTCCCGTGGCCTGCGGAGGATTCGGAGGAGAGCCGAGACGCGCCAGTGCCTGGGGACGACGAGCCGCGGGCTCACACTTGCAGCCGCCTGGGTCGGTGAGGAGAGGGGGAGGGGCCGAGAGCCGAGCAGAGGAGAGGCGCGAGTCGAACCGCAGCCGCCTG